CATGTGATTAGTCCACAAGAAGCCCATATTCAGGAATGTGCACACTTATCGTCAGAGGAATATAAAGAACATGTTTTTTTCCATGTTGCACAAAACTCTGCTAGCAAAGTAATTGATTAAATACAATTTAAAATTTTACACACATACACCACCTTCATCTACCAAACAATCTATATTGAATCAATGGACATATCTTTCATTACTATTTAACGTTGAACACGTTAACATTATCTTAAAAAATAAGACAACCGTGTATCGTACGGGCAAAAAACTGGTATATAATAAAAAAGAGAACAAGGGTCACTATTCACACACTGCCAATATATTGCCCTATGACCCCAACCTTTTCATGTATGCTGCACTTTGGTCCTCCACCATTAAAAAGTAGAATTTACATTCTCAACCTTTTATTTTGGAAGCACTTAGTAGGTCAGCATTTTCTTTAAAAATCAATTTTACCCTCAGCTTTAATTAAAAAAGAAGAAATGAAAAGAGAGAGAGAGAGAACTAGAAAAAGAACTAAACTGACATTCACCTTTTTGGCATAAGTAGATGGGGATGTGTGCACGCGACGGTGAATTTCGAGGTGGAGGTTGTTTGGTCAATAGGGACAGGTTGAGGACTTCCGTTGCTACATTCCCGAAAAGTTAAGTGGCCACATAGAATATTCCTACACTTTGGGTTAAGAATCATAATTCTATCGTAATTTTAACTGCAATAATAGTGGCTTTGTTACTTTATCCAATAAATTGACAACTTTGATCTAAATGGTTTATCATGTTTTTACTCTATATGCATATATATTAAAGGGATATATAAGGTGGTTGCAAAATATAATTTCAAAATTAAGAAATTAGGTTTATTATTTCAAAAATCAGATCTTAATTAGATTTTATTAATTAAATAATTAAATAAAAAATTATTAATAAAAAATATGAATTTTACAGAATTATTCAATTTATGATTACAGTTACATACTAGTCATTATTATAAATGTCATAATCACAAAATTTTTAAGTCACAATTTCTTTCTTGATCATAAATTATCGAATTAATGGTCACTTGTTATTTCTCGATCATTAATTATCAAATTAATTGATCACATATTATTTATCGATCATATTTCACAAATTTTACAAATCACAACGTATTAAAATGATCGATCATGTATTTTTTCGATCACGCATTACAAATTTTATAAGTCACAACTTATTTTACAGTCACAAATTATTAAATCAATTAATAACATCTTAACAAATTGTTAGTCACAATTAAGAATTTAATTACAATCTCACTTTTTTAAGTCACATATTATTTATTGATCACAAATTATTTAATTTTATCGATCACATAATATTTATTGATGACAAATTAACCAAGTAGTTATTCATAAACTTTCAAATAATTGGTCATACACACTCTTCATCACATTCCATACCACTCCCACTCCAACCCCACCCCACTCCACCTTAAATATTTGGTCACAAACACTCGCATACTTGTTAAAATCACTTTCATTCTATCCACACCACAACCCCAAAACATCGACACTAATAAACGGCTAGCCACCTCACCACCACAGTCACTGCCACAATCATTGTCGCCACACAATCTCAAAACCACCACCACACCACCGCTATCCCCATTACCACCACAATACATAATTACAAAACCATCTTTGTCAATCTTACAATCTCAAAGTCACCAAAACACCATCGTCTAGCCACATCACAATCTCAAAATCATTGCTNTAATAATAATAATAATAATATAGGGTGCGATGCTGATAGCAAGTTTCATTTTTCATTATACCCTGTCAAAATAACTTACGGCACTGTACTACCCATAGCTGCCCAACTCCAACAAATGTTGCTCGAACAACATTACTGTAAACAATTTGGCATTTTAATATTCTAAAATTAATTTGCGTTACCAATAGTCGCCACAATTACATGCACCACCGTTGAAGTGGTGGAAACGGTTAGGATCACGCAGGATTATTGTTCTTCCAACAATCTTCGATATGTGTTTGATTGCTGTGTGGCAATCTGCACAAACCCGCAAGTTTTTGAACACACGAATTGGTCTCCCAGCTGGAATCTTAATAATCCCAAAAGCGACGGCTAATTTCTCACTGTGATACTTGAGCATGTGCTGTTTCTCCTCTTCCTCTACATCATGCAAAACCAATTTTGTGGCTGAGACGTAACCATCACGTTTGATCTGTAAATCTATCTCCTCCAAGAAAGCATATATTCTGCCACTCTCAGGATGGTTGGAGTCTCCGACTGAAAATGAATGGATTTTGTTTTGAACCTCAACCCAGCTGTATCCAGGTACTTTTTTAATGCCAGTATCCCTCATTTTTAATCTCATCTTACCAACATCAGCCCACCTGCCTGAAGCTGCATATAAGTTTGAAAGTAGGACATACATCCCAGCATTCCAAGGTTCCATAGCAAAGATCATTTCAGCAGCCTTTTCTCCTAACTCGGTATTGCCATGAATCCTGCTGGCACCAAGAAGAGCTCCCCATGTTGCTGCATCTGGTTCAAAAGGCATACTTTTCATCAAATTTTGAGCATCATCTAGGCGTCCAGCTCGACCCAGTAGATCAATCATGGATGTATAGTGCTTTGAATTTGCCAATATGCCATAATCATGATTCATGGAGTGGAAGTACTCTCTGCCTCTGTCTACCA